TTGTATATTTTTTCCTTGGAAAAATAACAGTTTTCATCTCTCAACTTTGCATTGATTTCATATTTGATCCCCTATGTTCACTAAAAACACATTTGGTCCCTTAACAGAAGGCAAGTTCCACCAGCACAGCATGTGGGACGGCCGTCCCAAAACATGCCTATTTTGTGGGACGGCCGTCCCAAAACCAGGAAGAAAAAAAAAATTCGGACGGCCGTCCGAAAATCAGCACAAAAACTGGGACGGCCGTCCGACGATTTTTAGGGCGTTTTAACTGTAAAAAAATAGATTTTTTCCCCCATTATTTCCTAAACCCTCCTCTTTCCTTCTCTCGAACTCCCACACACAAATAAAGGCTAGAGAATCGAACCAAATTCTCCAAAATCTACTCTTTCAAGGCACGCCCACAAGGTGTTTGACAATTTGCTCCAACCAAATTTTGAGTTCGATTGTCAACCAATTCTCACCGAATCTATTCCAACCTCTCTCCCAACTATGTCATATATCAAACAAACGAGGCCGCACGAGCGAAGCATCATCTTCCAAAGGGAAGGGAAAGGGAAAGAAAAGTGCCACCACCCAATGAGGACGAGCGTGAGAGAGCTAGGGAGGAGCACCCCGATCACATCGACTCCGACTAAATCAGGTGTTTTCTATTCTTAAACTTTGTGCTAATTTCGTTGAGGGCAACGAAAATTTTAAGTTTGGGGGTGAAAAACATGTTTTTGTGCTTATTTGTTTAGTTACCATGCATTAGGTTTTATTCGTTTTTATTGCTTTTCTCGTTTTTCCGGCATATAAAAAAAATTTGCTTGAGTCGAATGCATCGATGAATTATGATGATGAGAGATGATCAATGTTTGATGATGAAATTGTTTGTTTTGTGTGATAAGGATTAGATGTTTGTTTAGCTTTCGATTCAACGGAACTTAGAAGCGAATTATTTCTAGGAATCACACTTTGTGCATTGCTTTGGTTGAATGTTTTGTATTTTAAATTTGAAGTTAATTTGTGTTAGATCATGCTATGTTCGGTTTTAAAACTCAACTTAGGAAATTTATGATACGAAGTATTGAGTAGTGAGTGATTTGAGATATGATTTGGGCCTTCTTTGAACCTTTTGAGCCTTTCAAGCCGACATTTTTATCGAAATTATCCTTAGAACCTTGATTTGAGCCTCGGAGAAAAGGTGTTCTTTCTTTTAGCCAATGTGTATAAGGTAGAAAAGTGGAGATTTTTTAAAAATTCCCCCTTGGAGTTCGGTCGAAATTTTTTATAAGATCTCTCTTCTTCTTAAAAAAAAAAAAAGACGAAGAAGTATATAGGCTTCTATATATATTTATAAAATAAAAAAAAAATGAAAAAAAAAATAAAAAAAAAAGAAGAAGAAGAGACTAGAAGGGAGAAATAAGGACTAGTTTTGAATTGTTTTGAAAGCTCGATCCATTGTCTTAAGAGCAAAAGTGGAGACTTTTGAACTCTTAAGAATCGAGTTTATTAAACTCCTTAAAGGTGAATTCATTGTTTCAAACGTCTATCTTTCAAATTTTGGCGTAATCACCTAAATTCAAGAAAAAATAGCCACATATACCCATATTTCCTACCTCGAACCAAAGAGCCTAACAATTGAAAGCCACAAAGCCCCAATGATCCCAATAGCTTAATGTTCGATATTAGTAGAGTAGAATAATTTGGTGAGTATTTGGAGTCAAGCATATGCATGTAAGTATAAATTATTTCTATCTTTAATTTGCAAATATTGGATGCTTGAAGCAATTGTATGAATTGTGGTTTTTGGTAATGGTGAGTGACTAAGTGTTGTTGAATTTTGAGCTTGCGAATGCCTAAGAATTGTCATTATAATTACAAGTTCTGAAAACGTGAAGTTGATCATTGATCTATGTGATGAGATGTTATAGTTGAGTTATTTGCTTATTTGTAGATTTTGCTTGAGGACAAGCAAAAGTTCAAGTTTGGGGGTGTGTTAAGTGTATATTTTTACACTTTATCGTATCTTTTTATTTGAGCTCTTGGTGTGTTTTAACGATAATTGATGCTTAAAAAGTTGATTTATTGTATTTTAGGTACAAATTGAAGAATTGGAAAAGTATGGGGTCAAAACTGTAATTTTGGAGAAAATATGGGTCAAAAGTGAAAAACTCAAAATTCTGAAGATTTAAAGCTCGGACCCCGTCCGAATTTTAGTTCAAATTGTGGGACCCCCGTCCGAGACTCCAAAGCTGCGCAGTAAAGGAATTTTAATTGCACGCCTTCTTCCCCAAGTTCTTCACCCTATATAAGACCAACCCAAGCACACAATTGGGGATCTTTTTTACGAAATTTGACACCACAAAACGCGAGGAACGAAGATCAACGAAGACTCAAGCATAGTTTTTCTTATTTAATTTATTTATTTTGTTTTCTTTATCATAAGAATCACGAGTAGCTAAGTTTTATTTCTAGGATTTTATTTGGAACCCTATGTGGGATTTATGAACCCTTTTCTATGATTTTATGCAAGTTTTAATTCCGGATTATTTCTTCTACTTGTTTTATTAAGTTCATGAAACTGACCACTTTATGTGCTTTTATGTTATTGTTAATCGCATGAATCGGAAGATCGGGTTAAGAATTAGAACTGTGGTAGAAGAGCCTTTGTGGTATTAACATAGGAATATAGTTAATCTCTTAGGTAGCCATTATTGAGATTTGTGCTTAATGCTGTGTTCTAGAATTAATTGCATAGGAATATAGTAATTGAATCTAGAGTATTAGAATCGCAATACACGCGGAAGCGGGTTATGATTATTTTAGCATCTCATGTTAATAATCCGGGTTAATTGCTTGCATAATTGAAGGAATTGGGGGAGTAATAATCACATAGGGGGGAGAATAAAATCCTAGGCTTGCTTATCTTGATTAAATCTTCGTTTTAAATTGCTTTCTTGTTTTTGCTTGCTTTTAATTTAGTTTAATTTAGTTAATTCTCTCTAAAATTCGACTGTGTAGGGTGGGCTTGATAATAATTGGTAGAATTTGGCGTCTAGGATTAGATAATTAAATATTCCCTGTGGTTCGATATCCGGACTTTTAGTTCACTATATTTCTTGTACAATACGTGCACTTGCGTGTAGGATTTTGATAATTCTTCGGCCCATAGTTGATTAACAAGATGCATAGTCGAATTAGATATGTATTAATATACTATTCCATATCATTTAATAGACTATCCCACTAGTATAATTTTACTATGGATCTCGTTAATCGACTATGGGCCGAAGAATCATCAAAACCCTAGATTTGAGAAGTGACGGCGGCGGATTTGTGTTTTAAAATTAATAGACTATCTCATATCTTTTAATAGACTATCACATGTATCTAATTCGACTATGGGTTTAGTTAATTGACTATTGAAAAAATAATAATATATATGGAAACTGAATAATATGTTTGTTTGAAATACTAATCAATTAGGGTAATTTTCCTTATTATATGAAAACGATTAAGGTAAATAATAATAATAATATATATAAAAAATAATAATATATATGGAAACTGAATAATATGTTTGTTTGAAATACTAATCAATTAGGGTAATTTTCCTTATATCATGTAATGTACTATCTTATTGATCTAATTCGACTATGGATCCCGTATTATTCAACCACATAGTATATTAATAATTTCAATATAGTACATTGATCTGCTATGATAGTATATTACGGTTATAGTAGTGATATGAATTGTGTTAACAAACAATATACCACTGAAATGACAAGAACATTGAGAACAACACCAACGTAAAGTATTCCAACATAACCAATAAAATAGTACATTAATAATCTCATAATTTCAATCTAGGGTTTTGATAAAATACATAAAATACTTCATAACACAATGAAACCAATATGTCGAGTTAAAACTCTAGTACATTAATAATCTCATAATAGTATAATAAAATGATAATAGTAGTATCATACGGTATTCATAATAGTATACTACTGTATTACAACGGTTTAAAACTTAACCGAAGTTACCGAGCCATTACATCGTAAACACCTCTTTATAGCAACCAACCCACCAAACCTCAACAAAATCCGTACGAAATTCGCCATCGAAAAAACCTAAAATCATGAAACAAAATTAAAAATGCAGAATACTAAAAAATGATTAAATAGACTGCAAATACATTTGAATGACAATACATTAATATCATCAAAAAAAAACTTAAAATGCAAAATTCATACGCTAATTTAAAAAACAACTATATTTTAATGTACTACCCAGCACACTTAAATCGGCTGTTATAAACAAATAAACCAACTATCGATCGGGATCAACAGACAATTATTCCGATTATTGCATAAACCAACTACGAAACTTATATAAAACAACTCTTGTCCGATCTGCGTGAACCATCCTCTTCTAACTATGTCAATCCTCTTCCAAACAAACACCATCCGCCAAAAATAACGATGTATATATTAATATGATACGACATTAAAAATGCAGAATACTAAAAAATATATTAATATGATCAAAAATAAACTTAAAATGCAAAATTCATACGATAACTTAAATAATACTACGAAATATATTTTAATGTACTACCCAGCGTCCTAAAATCCGTTGTTATAAACAAATAAACTAACTATCGACCGGGATCAGACTCATGAACTCCACGACAGCGGACAATTATTTCAATTAATGCGTTAACCAACTACGATGTTCATATAAAACAACTCTGGTCCGATATGCGTGAACCATCCTCATCTAACTCTGTCAATCATCTTCCAAACAAACATCATCGCCAAAATAACGATGTATATGACGGAATAATTTGGTTAAAAAAGGTTCTACTTAATAGAATCAAGTATCTACACAACTCTTAAAAATTTCTAACCACCGTAATCGACAATCCTAGACATTGAGCGAGAAATATACACGCATAACGCATTCATACCCGTTTAACAACGTCCAACAACGAACGCTCAAATTCGATCCTATTTCAACGATGGTGCAGAAATCTTCAAAGACGATATAAAACCGCTGGAACGCTGAAGAGAACCTTCGAAAAATATTGTACACGATTTGATATAACGCCCAATGATCTCACGTAATTTTATTCCGTGATTTTAGGCAACGTATCAGCAAATCTCAAATCACATAGTAAAGGAAATAAATGCCGTTTAAAAATAAAACAGGGGTATTAAAGGAAAATTATATAATACATTTTGCCAAGTTGGCAAAATTGGGTCTATCTCTCAAAGGAGGGGAAAAATTGGATCTAGTTCATTAGAAAATATGCACAAAGGGGTTATCCCTAATAAACCCAGAAAATAATATAATATGTAAAAACACACGGAAAATAATTTGCACACAATTCGTACACATACGCAATGGTATGTAATCCATGACATATATTTGGTTACACAAGCACACCACAACACACACACACACACACACATATATATATATATATATATATATATATATATATATATATATATATATATATATATATACATATTCACTATTAATCAGAAGCACAATATTGCATGATACACGCGTACGCTTGTATGAAATGCAATATTAATAA